AGGTGTGATTTCTATAATTATGGGAGGAATGTGAATTGCATGAGGTGTGATTGCAAGCGGCCTGGACAAATACAGTTAGGTGCGATCAATACCTCATCAGGAGTGGAGTATGGAAATGAGAGTAGGACTGACACTTCAGACATTGATAGTAGGTTAGCTGCTAATGAAGAGAAAGCCCAACGCTGGTTTAGCAAGGTTTCTCAACTGGACAGTACTGCTGATATTAACAGTATGATGTCAGATGAAGATTTTCCTGAAATAATGCCACTAAGGAAAGGAGTAAATAGATTTGTTGTGAGCACGAGGAAAACACCTTTGGAGAGGAGGTTGGATAATAATACTCAATATAATAGAAACTTTAGTAACGATGGCACTCGTGAGGCTGACGATTTTCATACTGGCAAAGCAATCAAATCACCTGACACATCTGTTAGCCAGAGGCTGGATGAGATTCTTGGTCGTTCTTCTGGACATGATACAGATACAGACGGCCCACCTTCAATTTCTAGTTCTCCTCAGTACAGAAATTTGAAAAGCGGCAACCCTAGCAATGTTCCATTGTCCGCTGATACTTTTGCTCAAAAGTCGGAGGACTTAAAGACAGCAGAGAGTAGAATGGTGGTTCCAGTTACTGATGCTGGATCTGGTAACTTGGGGGAGAGTTTACAGCTTTCTAGTCCTTCAAACCGAATTGATAGTGAAAACAAAGAGAAAGAGCAGGCTGAGAAATCTGAGAGGTGGTTTAGAAAGGTTTCTGAGCTGCATAATGTTTCAGATTTGACAAGCGCCATATCTGATGAGGATTTTCCAGAGATAATGCCAACGCGGAAAGGAGAAAATCGATTTGTTGTAAGCAAGAAAAAAGATCGCTCTTTGACTTCCCCGGCATACAAGAGACAATTAGCAATGGAGCAAGCTAGTAATACCAACTATGTCCCGTTTGTCCCCTTTCCGCCAGACTACTTTGCCAAAAAAGACAAACAGGAGTCAGATGGAACAAGTTCAACTGGTAAATCCAACATTGAATCATCAACATCAGAGGTGGCTGGTGATGCTGGACATAGTATTGTAGGGGGAGACTTTGCCAAAGATATAACCAATGGTGGAGTATCTTCAGCTGGCCCTGGGCTGCAGAGTAGAGATTATGCCTTAGGCGGTGGAAATCAAGATTTAAGCGTGAGGAGCTGGAGTCCAAAGCCTTCAGGACGGGGCTCAAGTAACAATGACAAGGATTCTGAGGATAAGTACTTCAGGGACGAGAATAAAGATAATATGTCAAATTTGAGTGGGGGTTCATCGCCCACGTCTGAGAATCAAAATGTTAGGGCTCAATGGACAGGAAAAAGTTTGGAGGGGTCAGCGGTAAAGGAACCGGATCCTCTGGACATGTCAGAGGAGGCAAAGGCAGAGAGGTGGTTCCGTCGTGTTGCGCAGATCAAGGATATATCCGAGCTAAGTCAGATTCCTGATGAAGACTTCCCTTCGATAATGCCTATGCGCAAAGGGGTGAACAGATTTGTTGTGAGCAAGAGAAAAACACCATTGGAAAGGAGATTGACGTCTCAGCAGTACAGAAAAAATCTTCCAGTTGTGAGTTCGGATCCAATTAAAAAAGAAAACGAAGGTAGCTAATGCGAGACTGTAAACATTTTTCTTTCGAATGTCTCGTTAAATTTTACTTTGCAGGCGAATTTTGTTTGATTTGGGTTGCCATAAGAGAAAAATTACGTTCCAAAATCTTAATACTGTTGCGTGTAATTTTGTTAGATTGCTCTAAGGTCATGATTGGAAAGCCGTTTCTTCAAAGTTCAAAGAAAAGTTGATGCTAAACCATATTCAATTCATAATTTTTTGTTTTAAGCTTCACAGCTAGCGCGGTAGGAGGAGTTCACGTGACTGCGAGTAAGAATGAGAAATATGAACTACGTAACGAAATCCTGCCGGTTTTCCACGGAGTCAAGAGATAAGATTAGCATAGTGCTACTCTCATGTACGTTAACTTATAAGCAGGTTTACAAAGTTTAATTCACTGAGTCTAGCAAAGCAAATCATACTAAACCCCAAATTCATCACCTGTCTATTGTTCTTGGTGGTGACAGACTACGCCACAGTATGTGGATCCCAGGTTGTATCTTAGGAAAAGGACGAACAGCCGTGCACTGCAGCTCAGTACTGATGCATGCTGAGCTCAGCTTCCAGGTGGTCGGAGCAGTTCTCTTCTTGTGGCATCCTCGTAATAGACTTGCTCTTACTATGTGGTTCCTTTTTTTCTCAATTGCCAGTGTCTTTCTCCTGCTTGTGTTTCCTGGTTTCGAATTTAAAGTATGAATGTTCATCAGTCAGCATAATGACACCTACACTACATACACAAAAGTCAGAAAATGCAAGAAACATGCAGTGTTAACATGCAAGTACAATAGGTTAAGGTCAATAATACTTTAGTTAGTTAAACCCAATTGTCAACCCCCAGTTTTCAACGATCATAAAATAACACAGGCAGCAACAGATCTGATAGTGGATGCTCGAGCAAAGCCAATCTTAAAGGTTGTCAGTGAAGAGTCAATCGTGAAGGCAATGAGGAGCATTTTTTTTTTAATTACCGGCACAGGCATCTTTATATAATATTTGTATTGATTGGTATTTATATATTCATTCCGATCCTAATTATAAGATTCATTTTATAATATAAAAACCAAAGGAGTAACATCTATCTTGAATATAACAAATCACCAGATCGTGCCTCGTGAATGCCAGAAATGATGCTTCGTGGGTTACATATGTATGCCTGGTTTCATTTCCAAACTGGAAATCAGGAAATTGGACGATCCTTTTCTCTGTGTCAACTTTATTCCATGCAACTTATTTTGCATTATTATAATTTATACATAGACTTCATTTGCCGGCAGCGTTAACCATTAAATAACGTAGAACACTTTATCATATACCTAGAGGGAGCTCCTGCGACTTGTTGACTGACCTAATTACGTGCTTGGCTCCTCTCAATTGCCTGCTCCGTCCGTTGCCCTCCTTTACTTTGAAAATAACGTCACATCCTAGTCCGAGAGGATGATCAGTCACACAAGGACTGAGACACGGCCTAGACTCCTGCAGGAGGTAGCAGTTGGGAATTTTTCGCAATGAGCAAAAGCTTGATGAAGCAATGCTACCTCCAAGGCGCTCCATCCGCTGCTCTCTCTGCTCCCCCCCCGGGGGGCCATCCGTTGCTCTCGTTCATATTTGCATAAGCGGCCCACAGGGAAACGTACAAGTTGGCAAATAACCATAAATTAAGCATTGCCCTCCCCAAACAATCCGTTATATAAAATAATTATATCGTAATATGATTATTAATAAATTCTTGTATAGTTTCAACAAGATTTGTATTTACCATCTTTTAATTAAAAGATTAATAATGAAAATATAAATATTTAACAATAGTTAAGTACTATATATTACTCCTCTAGTTTTTAATATAGAAACCGGATAACTAGTTTATATATATATATATATATTAAAAAAGTCAAGTGAGTATTTATTAAAAATGTGTGTTGATTTTTTTCAAATATTATTTTTAAACATCATCTACATTGAACTGTCCTTTGATAGAAACGTTTTTACTATATGCATTCAATAAAAATGGTTTGAGAAAAAGAAGTTATAAATTTGAAAGATAAAGTGAAGTAAGCATATATTTTGGATTAACATAAACACTATGTAAAAAATTAATTAACTTAATTATTTATTAAAACAATGTGTGGTTAAAATATAATATTTAAACATCATTTGCACTGAAATACTCTTTGATGATGATTCTATGTTTGATTGTAAATATATGAACTAATTAAAGGGTTTATTTTAGTCTTAAATATAAGAATTAGTCCAATTTATCTTTCAATTATAACTTTTTTCCTCAAACTATTCTAATTATAGTAAAAGAGTTTCTATCAAGGGGTGGTTCAATGTAAATGATGTTTAAAAATAATATTTTAAAAAATCAATATAGACTTTTAATAAATAATGAACCTAATTAATTTTTTTAATATATATAAATTAATTATCTTGTTCTTATATTAAAAATAAGAGGGAGAGTAATATATAGTATATAACTATTGTTTTTTTTTTTGGCGGGAAGCATATAACTATTGTTAACTACTGATATTTTTATTGCAGATTGCTCGGATAAAGGGACGCTTAATTTATGGTTATTTGCCTACTTGTACGTTTGACTGTGCACTGCCTGTGCAAATGAAACAGAGCAGCGGATGGCAAGAGAAAAGAAGAATGAGAGCAGCGAATGGAGCATTATATTACACGGAATGCGACGTCGTTTTCTGGGTAAGGGAGCGCAGCGGAGGGGAGCCGGTCCCATCCTTATTACGTGCTTTACTAAAGGAGGATAAAGCATAAAGACATGGATCGATATTCCTTAACTGTAATTAAATAATGAATCAAGTCCTTCCGCACAAATCAAGCAAACATTGGCCTTGGCTCTGCATTTAGATTTCAGAGCATACGGTGACGTAGCTCAAATAAAAGTGATGCATCTTTGTTCTTTGCATCATATACTTAACTTGATAAGCAGGTAAATGGGGAATGAAGACTCAGGTCAAGTCAAGCATCCCATTTATCTGGATCCAATTATCAGTGGTTCCTTCGCTTTATATACTCTGCATGGCACCCAAAGCTCTATAATTCGGAGCATACACCAGCTAGCTTCAACTTTGCAGTTTTTAAACTATAATATACGAGAACATTAAATAATCTTTTGCATATGGGTCCACCACAATACATCTAACTGCATATTATATCTGATATCTTCATCCTTCAATCATAGGCTATATGCCAAACTTGAATAATCTGCAAAGCTAGCCATTTCATCCAATATATATTATTTGATCCAGATGTTATTATTTAAACATAAGCTTAAAGAGATCTTCCCACTATAAATGCAAAGACTCAGGGAACTCTAGTGTTCACATCTCATACGAGTGCCTTCGTCATATACAGTGAGACAGTCACACTATCTCAATTGTCTCAGTCTCTCACCATGGCACAAGATCGGTATGCCCTTCTGGAACACCCATACCAAATATCGCGAAGTACATGGCCCAAGATACAAAGGGTGGCACATCATCTGAGAAATCGAAAGGCTTTTGCGAAGTACTACTCTCCTAAGATGGTGTCCCTTGGTCCCATTCACCATGGCGAGCCCCATCTTCAGTTAGGAGAGCAGTACAAACTCATGTGGGCATCAATGTACGTCGAAGCCAACCGAAATAAGGCCCAGCGTCTGCATCGAGAGATTGTCGTAAATATTAAGGATCTGAAGGATCTATACACTGAAGATGCACTTCGACGCTTTAACGACGATGAACTGGCGTGGATGTTGTTTGTGGACGGATGCGCTCTGCTTCAGATCCTAAAGCATCCAGACATATTGAAACCAGAGCCACTCAAAGCCAAGGTTGATCAGATGGCTCTTGTTCGCCAAGATGCACTTTTGCTGGAGAACCAACTTCCCTTCCGGGTCCTCCAGCTCTTAAGTGATCAACCTGACAACAAGCTAATCGAAGACATGGACCACTTCCTTCTTTGTCATCATTTTTCACCAGATCAAAAGCCCCACAAGAATGGAGCCGAAGGAGGTGATGATCAGACTCAGTATGCAATTGATGTCGATCCTACTCCGCCCAATCCAACTCATCTTCTTGATGAACTGCGGATCAAAGTGTTGCGTGAATTTCGTTGTCCCCCTGAACCGAAACACATCCAAAACGGCCAGATAACATACAGGAATTTGAAAGAGCTGAAAGGGGCAGGGATTGAAGTGAAAAGAAGCAAGTCAAAGTGCCCCATCGATATCACTTTCTCTTCTCACTGTTTCAGCGGAGAACTGAAACTTCCAGACATAATAGTGGACGACACAACTGCTCCAACATACCTGAACTTGATGGCGTACGAGGTGTGCCCAGATTTTGAGAACAAGTACGAGATAAGTTCGTACGTAGAATTCCTGGACTCGCTGATCGACCACCCGGACGATGTGAAGGTATTGAGGAAGGCCCGAGTTCTGCACAACGGGCTTGGCAGTGACGAGGAAGTGGCCAAACTGTTTAACGTCATAAGCACTGATCTGGTGCCTAACGCCGCCATATATGCGTCTCTCAGAGCTGACATAGAAAAGCATTACCAGAAGGATTACAAGACGTGGTTCGCTCTGGCCTTTAATACCTACTTCAGCAACCCTTGGTCCATTATTGCCTTCTTTGCTGCTTCTGTGGCCCTTCTTCTCACTTTTATCCAAACTTGGTTTGCCGCTTTCCCCTCTCAGAATTCTTAGACATCTCACATGGCAATAAGGATGTATACTCCATCTTTTTGCACTTTAATTATATAGAGCGTGAAAATTTTATTATTGGTGTGTGATTGTATTTAATCAATTAAACACAGCTTTTGATTACTGGAGTGATTGTATCCTTTTTAATGGGCACGCCAGAGTGATTATATTCATATTCATGACCAATGTCGATTTGGATCCTCTCAGTAGTGTTCAATCGAGAAAGGAGACGCAGAGATAAGGAAACTTTTTAGGTAATTTAAAACTGAAAAATCTCCAGAAGGATGGAAACGTTGACTCAAATTAAGCAGAAAAAGAAAAGGCACAATTACATTAAAAAAGCTTAGATGAGATAGTGTTGTTTTTTTTGGGGGGGAAGAATCATAAAAATCACAATTATATTAAAGAATCAAAAGATAATTATTTTTTTTCACATTTGTTCACCGCTAAGCTTATTTTCAAAGCCCGTTCTAATTTATTCCCTCTGATCCTATCTAATTGTAATGCACTTAAAATAGGGTGTTTTGTGGTCTTTTTCACGAGGTACGATATTAATTATGTATTACAATTTTTCCCTTTATCTCTATTTCAGATCGACGTAGGAATAGTAAGAAACATTTTTAAAACTTGTTTAATTTTTAAACAGGGTTAATTAGTTTGAATTTTGTTTGCTTCTGATAAAAAATAACGGAAGTTGCTTCTAAATGGATGAGGAGGGAGTGTCATCCATGTTTTCTTGGTTAGGTTAGGTGTATTTTTTTTTTAAAAAGTAAATTGGTCGAGTGTGTTCTTTTCCAATTCTTATCTTGCTATTCTCTTTTCTACTCTACAACTTTATCATTTCATAACAAGTTACAGTTTATCAGAAGTTCTTTCACATTCACCATACCAAGCGGTGGCTCTCAGAGTTGGAGTTATATATCGTATCAATCGTGGCTGCCGCTGGACGCTGATGAATGTTGAGCACTAGCAGTAGGCCTATCAGTGTTTCATTCGTTTTGCATCATCATCATCATCATAATCAACAGAACTTCATTTTGCCTTAGTAAATTACTATCTCCGGTTCTTAATATAAGATAATTGATTAATTTTGAAAGATTAAGAAAGTTAGTAAATTACTTAGTTATGACATTATTATATGATTTTTCTCAAAATAATTATATGCTTTATTAGATTATGTATGAATTTACAGGCAAATTAGTTTTGAGAAAAACGATAAATATAAATAGTTTAAAATAATTTAATAACTTTCTTGATTTTTTTAAATTAGCCAACTGGTAAAGACCAAAGAAGGTAGTATAATATACTATGGAAACTGATGCATCTTTGTCCTTTAATTTCACTTACTATACTTATCTGAGTTAGCAGGGAAAGGAATTAAGCATTTATGTACGCCGATATATGGTTAATTCCATTCACATCAGATCAGGCGGGTTCGTCCTTTACGTGAAATCTATATATTCTGTCTAAGCTGATCTGTAAATCACAGAGGGCAGATGCTAGCTTCAACATTATGCATAGTTTTTAAATTAACATTAAACAATGTTTGACATGGGTCCATTAATATATGCCAAACTTGAAATATCGGCAAAGATGGCTCCTTTATCCTTTTGATCCACAGATTATTTTAATGTAGGAGTAAACAGTAGTTTTCTCCATAAACTGATTAAATTCCGAGACTTATATAGCTTGATACCCATAATGTAGCGTCATTATACTCTATTTTTGCGCGCTCGCACACATATTGCTTCTGCCATGAAAAAGTAAGATGCGAGCTGATGAGCAAGACCAACGAACATTCTGCCTTCTTTATGCGTTAGAAAGCACAAATTCACTGATGGATAGAATAATCCAAGACCAACGTGACATTATTTGAAACTTTTAAACAATTATATGAAAACATTAAAGAATGTTTAACATGGGTCCATTCAACACAAAACGATTACGGCGGATTGGATAATGTCTGATTCAACTAATTAGCTCCTTCAACACTCAATCGGGAGTTATGCCAAACTTGAAATATCTGCAAAGATGGCTACTGCGTCCTTTTTATCCACAGATTATTTTAATGTAGGAGTAAACAGTAGTTTTCTCCATAAAGTGATTAAATTCCGAGACTTGTATAGCTTGCTGCCCATAATGTAGCGTCATTTTACTCTACTTGTGCGCGCGCGCGCGCGCGCGCGCGCACACACACACACACATAAATATTGCTTCTGCCGTCAAAAAGTAAGATGCGAGCTGAACAAGACCAACAAACATGCTGCCTTCTTTATGCGTAACTATGAGCACACATTCACTGGATATAATCCATGACCTATGTAGCATTATTTGAAACTTTTAAACAATCATATGTGAAAACATTAAAGAATGTTTAACGCGGGTCCATTAAACACAAAAGATGACGGCGGATTAGATCATGTCTGATTCAACTAACTAGTTCCTTCAACACTGCTCAATCGGGAATTATGCTAAACTTGAAATATCTGCAAAGCTATTTCATCCTTTTTATCCACAGATTATTTAAATGCAAGCGGTTAATTACAGGAGCTTCCACTATAAACTGACAATTAAATTCTGAGACTTGATGCCCGTACAGAGATGTGTGTGTGTGTGTGTGTGTGTGTGTGTGTGATACAAAGACCTTCCCTTGGGGTATCCACATTCCCAAATACGATGGATGAAGATCGGCTTGCGCAGTTACAGAGGCCGTGCCAAATATCACGAAGTGAATACCCCTAGATATAAAGGGTGGCACATCATCTGAGGAACCGAAATGCTTAATAAGAGTTATATTCGTTTATTATTTTTAATTTAGGAATGTAAACGACACCTACCATATAAAAAAAAAAAAAAACTCCTTTCATTTTATTAATTTTTAACACATCAACTTATTTTCAAAACCCACTTTTCTTAGGTTCCATTTTATTATGCTCCCTCCTCCAATCCCATTCAATTATAAGGAACTTATAGCAGCGGTCTTATAGCCCTTTTTATTGGGTACTATATTAATTATTTATTATAATTTTTTCCTTTCACCCCTAATAGGAAAGCAAGACATTTATTTAAAAACGTATTTAATTAATATTTTTGTTGCCGAACGTATTTAATTAATATGATTGAACTAGAAAGCTTATTTAGTTTTTAAATATCATTAATGACTTTTAAGATTTTGTATTCTGAAAAAAAAAATACTGGAGTTGATTATTTCTTAATGAAACATATAGGACGAGGGAGTACCATTCATATTTTCGTGCTTATACCTGGCAGCACTTATTTTGTCCTGTCAACGCTGTTTTTACCATTTGGTGCATCTCTTTCTCTCCTACTTGTGCGAATGGTAAAAATGTTTCAATAATGCATTTACCCATATAATCTGAACGCATGGTTAGATTCCAAAGTGATTGTCTTGAAGTATAAAATGAAGAAGTAAAGTAATAGAAATACTTCTTTCAAGTAAGCTATTAATTAAGGGAAATACTTCTGCAATTAGATTGGGCCACCTCAAGTGGCTTGACATCAAGTCGTGAATTGATTTGAGCATTATGTTGATCATTCTCCCAATAAATAGGACTCAGTGATCAATAATTGAATATTTAATTTTGGGCGCTGAGTTTGGAAGCTGTCAATAATAAGGAAAATGCGAGTTAATATATATGCTGGAATGAAGATGGAACTTTCTTCACTTTCCTAATATCTTTTCTAATTCCCCCTTATTTCGTGTGTGCTGGCTTGAATACATGTCTTGTTTCAGCTAAAAAGAGAAAGAATAAATGTCTTCTTGAATGAAATTTTCCAGCTAAATTGTACTTTCTAATTAAATAGACTTACCTGGAGAATGAATAACCGAAGACCAGATCAAAAAAGAAAACGTTACAAAAAAAAAAAAAAACTCAAACTTAATTGGCCCAATTTCAGTGCCTTCCTATGAGCGCCCCTACTTATTTTAAAAATTTTTGTAGTAGTATTAATAATAATAAAAGCAACAAAAGAAAAAACTCGTTTTGCTTTAGTAATTAAATTATAATATGCCGCGGAAACTGATGAATCACTCCTCCATCACATTTTCTTATCTTTATCAGCTGGTAAATTAAAGGATCATTAAGCTTGCATTTCTATATATGCCGATACATAATCTCGTTCACAACCTTCGTTAAATCTGTATTCTCTATTTTGTCCAAGCTGACCGATCTGTAAATCAGAGCGCACAGATGCTAGCTTCAGCATCAGTTTGTAAACAAACAAACATTGAAGAATGTTTGACATGGGTCCCTTAATACAATATAGCAACTATATATATGCCAAACTTGAAATATCCGCAAAGCTAATTCCTCCTTTTTATCCAGAGATTATTTTAATGTAAGCGTAGACAGTTGTTTCCGCCATAAACTGATTAAATTCTGAGACTTGATGCCCATGTAGCCAGTGTTCATATATACATACATATATATCATACAAAAAGTAAAGACCTTCGCTTTGGAAATGAGAGTTGCCGAGAGACCCACATTCTCAGATCTCAGTGCCACGGATGAAGATCTGTTTGAGCAGCTAGCACGCCCATGCCGAGTATCGCGAAGTGCGTGTCCCAAGGTACAAAAGGTGGCATATCCTCTGAGAAATCGAAAAGATTTCGCGGAGCATTGCTGTCCTAGGATGCTGTCACTGGGTCCCATTCACCACGGGGAATCCCATCTGAAGTCAGGAGAGAAGTACAAGCTCATGTGGGCGTCCACGTATGTCCAAGAAGATCGAGAAAGGGCCCGATATCTTCATGGAAAGATCGCAGAGAACATCGAGGAACTGCAGAATCTATACAACGAAGATGCGATCGGTCCCTTTAACGACCAACAACTGGTGCGGATGTTGTTTTTGGATGGTTGCGCTCTCCTTCAAATCTTAAAGCATCCTGCAGACCCGGAACGACTCAATGCCAAGGTTGACCAGCTTGTTCTTGTTCACCGAGATGCGCTGTTGTTAGAGAACCAACTTCCCTTCCGAGTGCTCCAGCTTTTAAGTGACGTCCCCGACCCTGAACTCCTCAAAGACATGCACGAATTCCTTCGCTATCATCATTTGTCACGGGGAAAACGTGGTCAGAATCGAGCCGAGGGCGATTCTCATCATCAATGCGCAATTGACGTCCCCGTCCCTGCTCCGGCTCATCTTCTTGATCTACTACGGAATGTGGTGGCTGGACTCCCTCCTGCTCAAGAGAAACGGGAGGTGCAAAGGGGCACGACAACAGTGCAAAGTGGCACGACAACATACAGGAATTTGAAAGAGCTGACTGCAGCAGGGATTGAAGTGAAAAGGAGCGAGTCAGAGTGCCCCTTCCACATCACTTTCTCCCCCCGTTGTTTGTGCGGAGAACTCAGAGTGCCAGGGTTAGTGGTGGACGGCACAACTGCTTCAACATTCCTGAACTTGATGGCGTACGAGGCGTGCCCAGATTTCGAGAACAACTACGAGATAAGCTCGTACGTAGAATTTCTGGACTCACTGATCGACCACCCGGACGATGTGAAGGTGCTGAGGAAGGCCCAGGTTCTGCACAACGCCCTCGGTAGTGACGAGGAAGTGGCCGAACTGTTTAACAACATAAGCGCTGACGTGGTGCCTAACGCCGCAATATATGAGTCTCTTAGACGTGACATCGAAAAGCATTACCGGCAGAAACACAAGACCTGGTTCGCTCTAGCGAAGACTAAATATTTCGGCAACCCTTGGTCCTTCATTGCCTTGATTGCTGCTTGTGTGGGTCTTCTTCTCGTTTCTTTCCAAACCTATTTCACTGTTTTTCCCCGCCATTCTAGTTAGACCCCCACATGGCAATAAAAAGGACCTACTCCCCCCGTTCACCACTTCTAGCTAGTATATTAAGTAGGTACATAAAAATTTATTGCGTGTGCTCAACCTTTTTATACTTGCATTGGCGTGTTTATATTTGATCAAACAGCTTTTAATTGGAGTGATTGTATTCTTTTCATGTAATCGGAGTGATTGTATTCTTTTCAATGGGGGCACTCGCATTGTCTCGTTTGCATATTTACTCTGTTGCGGAAGACCAACGAGTTAGCGCGTGTTTGGTATAGCATTTGGAGGGGTGAACATGCATTGCACAACAATGTGAAACGTAAGTTAGGAAGAAATTAAATCTGAAGATTAGAGATGTTTGGATGGGCGTGAGGAGTAAATAGGTTTATGCTTTAAATTGACTTTTTTTCGACCGCTTCATAAAATAGCTTTAAATATGGTTTAGTTGAGTGGAATTTTTTCTTTTAATATATTGGTCATTAACTCCCTACAAGTTATATCTCGGAGGAGATTAATCTCTACAAGTATATAACTTGTAGGGATTTGATGACCAATATAATGTTGATTTGGATTTTGTCAACTGAGAAAAGAAATTGGCCAATTTTTTACTTTGATGTGTCTTAATTTTATTTTATTTTATATTTCTTTGCTTATCTGAGAAATAAATAATTGAGTTACCTTAAAAATTAAAATTAAGAAAATTCACCCAGAAGTAAGGCAAATAGGAAACATCGATGAAAGCCGAAAAGAGGGAAATAAAGAAGGAAACCATGTGCGCCTCGGGAATTGGTCAGAAAGTGGGTATTGAGACCAGTGCCCCTCCAATGGACGTTGAATGTTGATTCGATTCTACCTATTTATTTTTAAATATAAGACTCATTTTACATTATAATTTAAAATGAGTCTTATATTTAGGACCAGAGGAGTATTTTATTTATAAGTTTAAAATTTAAAAAAAGATATAATTTATTTTATAAATTTTAACTTAGGTTTGTCTTATATTTAAAGTCTTTTTTTAATATTGTTCTTAATTATTTATTTCTTATCACATTTTCTAACACATTCTCTTTTATTTTTTTTCTCATTTATTATGAGGATATATTTATAAACAAAATTATATTTTTAACCTATTTTGATGTTTTTAACTAATTTTAACTAATTATTCATTATTTATGAATTAATTATTTGAAGTTTATAATGAACGATATACTACATAATATAAGGAAGTATAATATTTTTAACCTACTGAATGGAATTTATTCTTTGCCGACTATATTCCGAAGGAGATTAGGATCCCTACTTTCAACAGAGTAGATTACTTGTCCCTCGCCGAATAAAAATAAAAGAGCAATATAAGGAACATGCCTTCAGGTGTAGCAGCCACAAACTCACCGAACTAGAGTGCATGACCAAATTTTGAAAGCTGTCGATCAGCTCGCTCTGACATTCCAAAGTTCTGGGGACTAATTAACCACATGCTCATGATTCAGCAGGGCAGAAGATTGATTATGATAGCAGGTTGATGTGATGAGAGAGCCACTGGGGAAGGTAAAAGCTAACGTGAGGCATTAATTAATTATCAGTGTTTGGCTCTCATACTGTTTTAACTTCCTTTTTTTTTTTTTTTGGCCCCGCATGACGTGCCATGTAACTAGTTGATGAGTGGATCGAAGGAACGACATCAGAAACAGCATGGGGGGATTGGAAGGAGGACGAAGATGGAAGTTGAGACGAGAGTTAACTAGGAGTGGAGTACGTGTAAATAGACTATTTAAGATGCATGTTTCTAACCACTTCTGTGATAAATAATGCAGCTATTTATACAACTTATATATTTTATATTGAAGATTACTTAAGATGCATTCTGATCAGTTTGTAATAAATAAGAATGCTAAAGTATACATTTAATCCTTTAATTTTATTTAAAATTTTGATTTGATCCCTTAACTTTAAATGTATACTTTTGGTCTCTTAATCTTGAAATCGTTCGGCTTAAATAATGATGTTTTAATATAATCATGATTTTTTAAAAAATTAGACTTAATATGTTAGCGTTTAAAAATATTTTATCAACATTAAAGATTCAATATCATGGTTTTTTGTTAACATGTTTAGGATCAAAAGTCTAAAATTATATTTTTTTAAGTTAAGGAACCAAATTAAAACCCTATATAAAGTTGAAGAACTAAATATATACTTTAACCTAAATAAGAACGTAAGCGGCTGCACTTATATAGGATTGATCGGTTTAAATTTATTAGATGTTTTAAAAATACTTTTTATATCTATTTTGTTCATTTTATAAAAAAAATGGAAGAAAAGATAAAATAAGATATTTTTTTAGAAATTTTATTTAGAAATAAAAATAATTAACAAGAAAGTAGGAAATAATATATCTTTTAGTATTTTAATTTAGTTTATTTATAATCACAGAAGTATCAAACTTTTTTAAGGATGTATTTAATATTAGCGAAATAAGAAACTTATTTAATTTTTAAATGGATTTAATAATTTTAAAGATTTTTTTTACTATAATGAAAACTGCTGGAACATGTGTTTCTGGATACTGGATAGATCTATTTTATCAAAAATTATTCCGCCATGCCAAAGGGGGGCTCGAGAGCTATATATACAGTTATGCAATCGTGGCTGCTGCTGGATGCCCTAATAATCAGTGTTCATTCGTTCTGCAACAACGAGACAACAGCGGAAAAAAGGGGTAAAGAACCTCGTTTTGCCTCAATAAATTATAATATACCGCAGAAACTGATACTGTGATACATCATTCGTCCTTTCACTTACTTCGCTTATCTTAGTTAGCAGGGAAAGCAATTAAGCATTGGTCCTTTCAGCATTATTATATGTAGTTTTTAAATTAACATTAAAGAATGTTTGACATATAGGGGTCCATCAATACAATATTACAGCAACTACGTGCGCCAAACTTGAGATACCTGCAAAGCTGTACTGGCTACTTCGTTCTTTTTATCCTGAGATTATTTTAATTAATATCTACGCGTAAACTTAGTGTTCTCCTTAAACAGATTAAATTCAGAGACTTAGCTTGATGCCCATATATAGTATAAAATCTAATGTTCATTATACGCATCGCATTGTACTCTTACCTTTTTTCTTTTTTGCTTTTTAAATACTTCCGCGTATCTATTGCTTCTGCCATGAAAAAGTAAGATGCGAGCTGAGCAAGACCAACAAACATGCTGCCTGCTTTTTGTGTAACTAATTACTTAAGCACAAATTCAGTGGACAGAATAATCCATGACCAACGTAACGTTATTGGGTACTTTTGAACAATTATATAAAAAAAAAATATATTAGAGAATGTTTAACATGGGTCCAGTAAACACAAAAAGATGACGGCGGATCCAAAAGATGACGGCAGCATCAACACTCAATCGGGAATTTGTGCCAAACTTGAGATGTCTGAAAAGCTACTTCGTCCTTTTCCATCCACATATTATTTAAATGCAAGCATTAACCGTAGTTTGCATCATAAACTGATTAAATTATTTAGAGTTGATGCCTATATATGTAGTGTTCATAGACATATATCACACGAAGACCTTCCCATGAGGGCATCCACATTCTCAAATCGATCATAGTATACCATGAATCAAGATCTGCTTGCGCGGCTACAGAACCCACGCCAAATATCACGAAGTGAACACCCCAAGATACAACGGGTGGCACATCATCTGAGGAATCGAAAAGATTTTGCCGAGTACTACTCTCCTAAGATGATGTCACTGGGTCCCATTCACCACGGCACAACCCATCTGGAGCTAGGAGAGAAGTACAAGCTCATGTGGGCATCCATGTATGTCCAAAGGGATCAACAAAGCAGGGCCCAAATTCTGCATCGAAAGATCGCAGAAAACATCGAGGAACTCAAGAGTCTATACGATGAAGATGCGATCGGTCACCTTAGCAACGAAGAACTGGTGCAGGTGTTGTTTTTGGATGGTTGCGCTCTGCTTGAAATCTTAAAGCATCCAGACATCTTGAACCCGGAACCCCTCAATGCCAAGGTTGACCAGCTCGTTCTTGTTCACCAAGATGCGCTTTTGTTAGAGAACCAACTTCCCTTCCGAGTGCTCCAGCTTTTAAGTGATGATGTCCCCGGCACTGAGCAGTCTGAGCTCCTCAAAGACATGGACACATTCCTTCGGTATCATCATTTTTCACAAGAAAAAACTATTCAGGATCGAGCCGAACTTGTAATTGACGTCACCGTCTCTCCTCCATCTCATCTTCTTGATCAACTACGGAGGAATGTGCTGGCTGGATTTCCTCCTCCTGCTCTAGAGAAACGGATCCCGAAAAGTGGCACGATAACATACAGGAATTTGAAAGAGCTGAGAGCAGCGGGGATTCAAGTGAAAAGAAGCGAGTCAGAGTGCCCCATCCACATCACTTTCTCCTCTGGTTGGATAAGTGGAGAACTGAGACTTCCTGACATAATAGTGGACGGCACAACTGCTTCAACATACCTGAACTTGACGGCGTACGAGGCTTGCCCGGACTTCGAGAACAACTACGAGATAAGCTCGTACGTAGAATTTCTGTCATCGATGATTAAATACCCACATGATGTCAAGGAACTGAGATCACGTGGATGTATACGGAACGCCCTTGGCAGCGATGAAGACGTAGCCAACTTCGTTAATTCCATAGCTGTTGGCGTGGTGCCTAACGTGGTAATATATGACTCTGTTAGATTTGAAATCGAAAGGCATTTCAGATCAAGATACAAGGCATGGCTTGCTCAAGCTTATTATGCCTACTTCAGCAACCCTTGGTCCATTATTGCATTACTTGCTGCCTGTCTGGCACTTATTCTTACTTTTCTTCAGACCTGGTTTACCATTCATCCCTCTAAATAGACCCCACAGATTAAAGTAGTATTGATTGCTGGCATTTTCGGTAATAAGGTTTTGCCATGTGCCCTCATTTTGAGATAATCTCCCATGTGTATATACTTTAATGATGTTAAGAAATTGATGGCGAGGAACGTCCTCACAGCAGGAAGCGGTCCAATACTGCAGGAGGAGGCCTGTTGCTTAGTAAGAGTTATATTCGTTTTATTATTTTTAATTTAGGAATGTAAACGACATATACCATATTAAAAAATTAACTCCTTTCATTTTATTAATTTTTAACACATCAACTTATTTTTTAAAACCCATTTTTCTTAGGTTCCATTTTATTATGCTCCCTCCAATCCTATTCAATTATAAGGAACTTAAAGCAGCGGTTTTATAGTCCTTTTTATTGGGTACTATATTAATTATTTATTATAATTTTTTCCTTTTACCCCTAATAGGAAATCAAGACATTTATTTAAAAACGTATTTAATTAATATGATTGAACTAGCTTATTTACTTTTTAAATATCATTAATGAATTTTAAGATTTTGTATTCTGAAAAAAATGCTGGAAGTAATTATTTCTTAATGAAATGTATAGGATGAGGGAGTACCGTTCATGTTTTCGTGCTTATATCTGGCAGCGCTTATTTTGTCCTGTCAACGCCGTTTTTACCATTTGGTACATCTTTTCCACTCCTACTTGTGCAAACGGTAAAAATGTTTCAATACCTTTACTCATATAATCTGAACGCATGGTTAGATTCCAAAGTGATTGTCTTGAAGTATAAAATGAAGAAGGGAATGTAGGAGAAATATTGGTCACCGCCAGGTTAATTAATGAAGAAGGGATTACAGTTTTTAATTTACTTCTTTCAAGTAAGCTATTAATTAATGAAAATACTTCTGCAATTAAATTGGGCCACTTCAAGGGGCTTGACATCAAGCCGTGAATTGATTTGAGTATTATGTTGATTATTCTCCCAATAAATAGGACTCAGTGATGAATAATTGAATATTTAATTGTGGGTGCAGAGTTTGGAAGCTGTCAATAATAAGAAAAATGCGAGTTAATATATATACTGGAATGAAGATGGAGCTGTCTTCGCTTTCCTTAATATCTTTTCTTTTTTTGAACCATCCTAATATCTCTTCTAACTCCCCCTTATTTCGTGTGTGCTGGCTTGAATACATGTCTTCTTTCAGGTAAAAAGAAAAAGAATAAATGTCCTCTTGAATGAAATTTTCCAGCTAAATTGAACTTTCTAATTAAATAGATTTACCTTGAGAATGAACAACTGAAGCCCAAATAAAAAAAGAAAACGTTACTACAACATAAAAGAAAAATTAACTCGAGCTTAATTGGCCCAATTTCAGTCCCTTTCTGTGAGCACCCCCACTTATTCTACAAAATTTTGTTGTGACAACAATAATAATAAAAGCAACAAAAAAAAATCGTTTTGCTTTAGTAATTAAATTATAATATGCCGCGGAAACTGATGAATCATTCCTCCATCATATTTTCTCATCTTTATCAGCTGGTAAAGGATAATTAAGCATGCGTTTCTATATATGCCGATACATAGTTAATCTCATTCACATCCTTCGTTAAATCTGTATTCTATATTTTGTCCAGGCTGATCGATCTGTAAATCAGAGCGCGCGGATATTAGCTTCAGCATCACAGTTTGTAAACAAACATTAAAGAATGTTTGACATGGGTCCCTCAATACAATATAGCAACCATATGTGCCAAAATTGAAATATCCGCAGAGCTAATTCAGCCTCTTTATCCAGAGATTATTTTAATGTAAGCCTAGACAGTTGTTTCCGCCATAAACTGATTAAATTCTGAGACTTGATGCCCATGTGGCTAGGGTTCATATGTATGTATGTGTACATATATATATATATATATATATATATATATATCATACAAAAAGTAAAGACCTTCGCTTGGTAGAATTCAGAGTTGCCGAGAGACTCACATCTCAGATCCCATTGCCATGGATGAAGATCTGTTTGCGCAGCTAGAACACCCACACCGAGTATCGCTAAATATGCAATAGTACAATCAGTGTAAGTGCCGAGTTTCCCTTTTATTTTCGGATGGAAGTTTGGTGTTCCTGGCCAAGCTACACGCCAAGTCATGGGAGGTTTTACTGTATAACTTAATCCTCTATGATCTCGGCATTCATCTTCGAATTGTCCAGTCGTCGCGAAAGTCAAAATTGTCTCTCACCCCCAACCTGCCTGGCCTGGTCGTTTATTCCTTCTATTTGCAGCAGCAAAATAAATTAACTGCGTATTTTGCGAATTTATACTTTTATCAGCCTCCGTTTTCTTCTACCCTGTGCCGTGCTTCACCAAACCTTCTCAATTTCTTCTCCCCATAATTCCCTGATAAATAATATTGTTTGTGCAGACAAGAAACATGGTAAGCCCTTAACAAAAATATTGATTTAACCACCTGCCACTTGTAGGCGGGATTTGTTTCCTCAATTCATCACAATTATATTTGGATGATAAGAAACACACTGGGAAAACCCTATGATTGGAAATTCTCTTTTCAGTGGAAAGATGAAAAGTTTACTAGTCTGCAAGAATGTATTTTCATGAGTATGGTGCACATATTCTCTCATGACTTTCATTTGGAACATGACAAATTTGTTTAACCTAATTGTGCTTCATGTGTTTTTATATATCCTGGATTCTGATCAAGCTCATACGGTTGATTTGATGAAATTTTTGCTGAGTTATGCGAGTAACCCTTGGGTATCGTCACAAAGGGACAATCTCCATAATAGAGATCTTGTTGAATCATCAGTCCGCAATCTTTTTGCGGAACTTTTCAAGCTGATTTGTAATGCACCTGGATCGAACTCATATGGTGCACTGCAAAATCAAATGCCTGTTAGATCTGGACAGACAATGGCGCCTGCAAAAAAGATTGAAATGAAAAGGGGTGATTGGATTTGCCCGAGGTAAACTTTTCATTGTTTGATTCCCTATCAACCATGTCTTTATTGATTTTATGCGACACACAGGTAGCCCGACATCTTGCTTTCAGCAAGTATTATAAAATATTAACATACTGATGTTGGTGGGCTCTTTCTCTAATATGTTGCAGGTGTAACTTCATGAATTTTGCGAGAAATATCAAATGTCTTGAGTGTGAGGAGGCAAGGCCAAAGAGGCAACTAACTGGAGGAGAGTCGGAGTGCCCTCAGTGAGTAGTTTACCGTTGAAATTTTTCTCCTGTCCCATGGTTTTATGCATCGTAACTCTGTATGCTAACTAATGGATTGTGTGTGTGTGTGTGTGTCTTGAAGGTGTGATTTCTATAATTATGGGAGGAATGTGAATAGCATGAGGTGTGATTGCAAGCGGCCTGGACAAATACAGTTAGGTGCGATCAATACCTCATCAGGAGTGGAGTATGGAAATGAGAGTAGGACTAACACTCCAGACACTGATAGTAGGTTAGCTGCTAATGAAGAGAAAGCCCAACGCTGGTTTAGCAAGGTTTCTCAACTGGACAGTACTGCTGATATTAACAGTATGATGTCAGATGAAGATTTTCCTGAAATAATGCCACTACGGAAAGGAGTAAATAGATTTGTTGTGAGCACGAGGAAAACACCTTTGGAGAGGAGGTTGGATAATAATACTCAATATAATAGAAACTTTAGTAACGATGGCACTCGTGAGGCTGATGATTTTCATACTGGCAAAGCAATCAAATCACCTGACACATCTGTTAGCCAGAGGCTGGATGAGATTCTTGGTCGTTCTTATGGACATGATACAAATACAGACGGCCCACCTTCAATTTCTAGTTCTCCTCAGTACAGAAATTTGAAAAGCGGCAACTCTAGCAATGTTCCATTGTCCGCTGATACTTTTGCTCAAAAGTCGGAGGACTTAAAGACAGCAGAGAGCAGAATGATGGTTCCAGTTATTGATGCTGGATCTGGTAACTTGGGGGAGAGTTTACAGCTTTCCAGTCCTTCAAACCAAATTGATAGTGAAAACAAAGAGAAAGAGCAGGCTGAGAAATCTGAGAGGTGGTTTAGAAAGGTTTCTGAGCTGCATAATGTTTCAGATTTGACAAGCGCCATATCTGATGAGGATTTTCCAGAGATAATGCCAATGCGGAAAGGAGAAAATCGATTTGTTGTAAGCAAGAAAAAAGATCGCTCTTTGACTTCCCCGGCATACAAGAGACAATTAGCAATGGAGCAAGCTAGTAATACCAACTATGTCCCGTTTGTCCCCTTCCCGCCAGACTACTTTGCCAAAAAAGACAAACAGGAGTCAGATGGAACAAGTTCAACTGGTAAATCCAACACTGAATCATCAACGTCAGAGGTGGCGGAGAAGCCTCCAGAGATGGCTGGTGATGCTGGACATAGTATTGTAGGTGGAGACTCTGCCAAAGATATAACCAATGGTGGAGTATCTTCAGCTGGCCCTGGGTTGCAGAGTAGAGATTATGCCGTAGACGGTGGAAATCAAGATTTAAGCGTGAGGAGCTGGAGTCCAAAGCCTTCAGGACGGGGCTCAAGTAACAATGACAAGGATTCTGAGGATAAGTACTTCAGGGACGAGAATAAAGATCATGTGCCAAATTTGAGTGGGAGTTCATCCCCCACGTCTGAGAATCAAAATGTTAGGGCTCAATGGACAGGAAAAAGTTTGGAGGGGTCGGCGGTAAAGGAACCGGATCCTCTGGACATGTCAGAGGAGGCAAAGGCAGAGAGGTGGTTCCGTCGTGTTGCGCAGATCAAGGATATATCCGAGCTAAGTCAGATTCCTGATGAAGACTTCCCTTATGCCTATGCGCAAAGGGGTGAACAGATTTGTTGTGAGCAAGAGAAAAACACCATTGGAAAGGAGATTGACGTCTCAGCAGTACAGAAAAAATCTTCCAGTTGTGAGTTCGGATCCAATTAAAAAAGAAAACGAAGGTAGCTAATGCGAGACTGTAAACATTTTTCTTTCGAATGTCCCATTAAATTTTATTTTGCAGGCGAATTTTGTTTGAATTGATTACCATAAGAGAAAAATTACTTTCCAAAATCTTAAATTCTTAATACTGTTACATGTCAGAACTTTGTTAGATTGCTCTACAGGTCATGATTGGAAAGTCGTCTCTTCAAAGTTCAAAGAGAAGTTGATGCTAAACCGTATTCAATTCATAATTTTTTGTTTTAAGCTTCACAGCTAGCGCAGTAGGAAGAGTTCACGTGACTGCGAGTAAGAATAAGAAATATGAATTACTTAACGAAATCCTGCCGGTTTTCCACGGAGTCGAGAGATACAATTAGCATAGTGCTACTCTCATGGACGTTAACTTATAAGCAGGTTTACAAAGTTTAATTCACTGAGTCTAGCAAAGCAAATCATACCAAACCCCACATTCATCACCTGTCTATTGCTCTTACTGGGACAGACAACGCCACAGTATGTAGATCCCAGGTTGTATCTTAGGAAAAGGACGAACAACCATGCACTGCAGCTCAGTACTGATGCATGCTGAGCTCGGCTTCCAGGTGGTCGGAGCAGTTCTCTTCTTGTGGCATCCTCGTAATAGACTTGCTCTTACTATGTGGTTCCTTTTCTTCTCAATTGCCAGTGTCTTTCTCCTGCTTGTGTTTCCTGGTTTCGAATTTAAAGTATGAATGTTCATCAGTCAGCAATAATGAGACCTACACTACATACACAGAAGTCAGAAAATGCAAGAAACATGCAGTGTTAACATGCAAGTACAATAGGTTAAGGTCAATAATACTTTAGTTAGTTAAACCCAATTGTCAACCCCCAGTTTTCAACGATCATAAAATAACACAGGCAGCAACAGATCTGATAGTGGATGCTGGAGCAAAGCCAATCCTAAAGGTTGTCAATGAAGAGTCAATCGTGAAGGCAATGAGACGTACTTTTTTTTTTTTTCAAATTACCGGCACATGCATCTTTATATAATATTTTCATTGATTGGTATTTATATATTCCTTCCAGTCCTAAAGATTCATTTTATAGGATAAAAACCAACGGAGTAACATCTATCTTGAATATAACAAATCACCAGATCGTGCCTCGTGAATGCTAGAAATGATGCTTCGTGGGTTATATATGTATGCCTAGTTTCATTTTCAAACTTGAAATCCGGAAATTGGACGATCCTTTTCCCTGTGTCAACTTTATTCCATGCAAGTTATTTTTCATGATTATAATTTATACATAGACTTCATTTGCCGGCAGCGTTAACGATTAAACAACGAAGAACACTTTATCATATGCCTAGAGTGAGCTCCTGCAACTTGTTGACTGACCTAATTACGTGCTTGGCTCCTCTCAACTGCCTGCTCCATCCGTTGCCCTTCTTTACTTTGAAAACGACGTCGCATCCTGCGTAATATAACGCTCTATCCGCCGCTCTCTCTGCGCTCCCCGGCCCCCCCCCCCGGGGGGGAAAAAAAAAATCCGCTGCTCTCATTCATATTTGCATAAGCAGCCCACAGGGAAACATACAAGTAGGCAAATAACCATAATTGAGCATCACTCTTCCCAAACAATCCGTGATATAAAATAATTACTCCTCCGGTCCTTAATATAAGACCCATTTAACTAATTTGATTAGATTAAGAAAGTTAGGTAAATTGGTTAATTATAAGAAAAGTGACACATTTTCCTAAACACCACAATCATCTTTCTTAATACCCCATTTCTCTCTTCTACTTGATTATGGTTGAGGGAATTCCATAAGGGTAATTTAAAGAAAATTAATAATATGATAAATGGTCTTATATTTAGGACCAAAACTAACTCAAAAATTGGGTCCTATATTAAGGACCGGAGGAGTATATCATAATATGATTATTAATAAATTCTTGTATAGTTTCAACAAGATTTGTATTTACCATCTTTTAATTAAAAGTTTAATAATGAAAATATAAATAGTTAACAATAGTTATTTACTATATATTACTCCTCTCGTTTTTAATATAGGAACCAGATAACTAGTTTATATATTAAAAAATTAAGTGAGTATTTATTAAAAATGTGTGTTGATTTTTTTCAAATATTATTTTTAAACATCATCTACATTGACCTGTCCTTTGATAGAAACTTTTTTACTATATGCATTCAATAAAAATGGTTTGAGAAAAAGAAGTTTAATTTGAAAGATAGAGTGAACTAACTCATATATTTTGATTAACATAAACACTATGTAAAAAATTAGTTAACTTAATTATTTATAAAAAAAATGTGTGGTTAAAATATAATATTTAAACATCATTTGCATTGAAATACTCTTTGATGATAATTCTATGTTTGATTGTAAGTATATGAACTAATTAGAGGATTTATTTTAGTCTTAAATATAAAAACTAGTCCAATTTATATTCCAATTATAACTTTTTTCCTCAAACTATTCTTATTATAGTAAAAGAGTTTCTATCAAGGGGTGGTTCATGTAAATAATGTTTTAAAAATAATTTTTAAAAAAATCAATATACATTTTTAATAAATAATAACTTAATTAATTTTTTAATATCTATAAATTAGTTATCTAGTATTAAAAATGAGAGTGAGAGTAATATATAGTACATAACTATTGTTTTTGTTTTTTTTTTTGCCAGAAGTATATAACTATTGTTAACTACTATAACTTTATTATTACAGATTGCTCGAAAAAGTGATGCTTAATTTATGGTTATTTGCCTACTTGTATGTTTGACTGTGCACTGCTTATGCAAATGAAAAGAGAGTAGCGGATGGCAAGAAAAAGAAGAATGAGAGCAGCGAATGGAGCATTATATTTACATTACGCGGGAGCGACGTCGTTTTCTGGGTAACGGAGGGCAGCGGAGCGAAGCCAATCCCATCCTTATTAGGTGCTTTACTAAAGGAGGAAAGCATATTCAACAAAAAAAAAAAAAGGAGGATAAAGCATAAAGACATGGATCGATATTCCCTAACTTTTAATAAATTGAATCAAGTCCTTCCGCACAAATCAAGCAAACATTGGCCTTGCCTCTGCATTTAGATTTCAGAGCATACGGTGACGTAGCTCAAATAAAAGTGATGCGTCTTTATTCTTTGCATCATATACTTAACTTGATAAGCAGGTAAATAGGGAATGAAGACTCAGGTCAAGTCAAGCATCCCATTTATCTCGATCCAATTATCAGTGGTTCCTTCGTTTTATATATTCTGCATGGCACCCGAAGCTCTTTAATTTGGAGCATACACTAGATAGCTTTAATTTTGCTGTTTTTAAACTATGATATACGAGAACATTAAATAATCTTTTGCATATGGGTCCATCACAATAGATCTCACTGCATATTATGTCTGATATCTTCATCCTTCAATCATGGCCATATGCCAACTTTTTAGGTAATTTAAATTGAAAAATCTCCAGAAGGACGGAAACTTTGGCGCAAATTAAACAGAAAAAGAAAAGGCACAATTACATTAAAAGGCTCATATGAGATAGTGTTTTTTTTTTTTTAAAGAATCATAAAAAACATTAGATTAAGAATCAAAAGATAATTATTTGTTTACAGTTGTTTTTCAAAGCCCGTAATATTTTGTTCCCTCCGCTCCTATTTAATTATAAGGCCCTTAAAAGGGGGGTTTTGTGGTCTTTTTCACAAGGTACTATGTTAATTATGTACTCCTCTGGTCCTAAATATAAGACCCTTATACTAGTGTGTACAATGGTCTTATATTGAGGACCGGAGGAATATTACGATTTTTCCCTTTATCCCTATTTAAGATCGACATAGGAAGAGTAAGAGATATTTTAAAAATGTAATTTACTGGATGACTAATTAAAACTGTTTTTGATTTTAAACAGGGTTAATTAGTTTTAATTTTGTTTGCTTCTGGTAAAAATTAATGGAAGTTGCTTCTAAATGGATGAGGAGGGAGTGTCATCCATGTTTTCTCGGTTAGGTTAGGTGTTTTTTTTTTTAAAAAAAAGGTAAATTGGTTACGTGTGTGTTTTTTTCCAACTCTTATCTTGCTATTTCTCTTTTCTACTTTATAACGTTCTTATTTTCATAAATGGTGTATTTTATCAAAAGTTCTTTCACATTCACCATACCAAGCGGTGGCTCTCAGAGCCAGAGTCATGTCAATCGTGGCTGCCGCTGACGCTGATGAATGTTGAGCACTAGCAGTAGGCCTATCAGTGTTTCGTTTGTTCTGCATCATCATCATCATCATGATAACCAACAAAACAACTTCGTTTTCACTTAGTAAATTACTACATCCTGTCCTTGATATAAGACAATTGATTAATTTGGAGAGATTAAAAAAATTATTAATTACTTAATCATAACATACGTAACATGATTTTTTCTAAAATAATTATATTTTCATTGGATTATATATGAATTTATAAGTGAAAAAAATTAGTTTAGAGAAAAATAATAAATATAAATAATTTAAAATAATTTAGTGATTTTCTTGATTTCTTCAAATTATTTTATCGGCAAAGATGGCTACTTACTTCATCCTTTTTATCCACAGATTATTTTAATGCGGGAGTAAACAGTAGTTTTCTCCATAAACTGATTAAATTCCGAGACTTATATAGCTTGATACCCATAATGTAGCGTCATTATACTCTACTTTTGCGCGCTCGTACACATATTGCTTCTGCCATGAAAAAGTAAGATGCGAGCTGATGAGCAAGACCAACGAACATTCTGCCTTCTTTATGCGTTAGAAAGCACAAATTCACTGATGGATAGAATAATCCCAGACCAACGTGACATTATTTGAAACTTTTAAACAATTATATGAAAACATTAAAGAATGTTTAACATGGGTCCATTCAACACAAAACGATTACGGCGGATTAGATAATGTCTGATTCAACTAATTAGCTCCTTCAACACTCAATCGGGAGTTATGGCAAACTTGAAATGTCTGCAAAG